TAAGGAAATTTTCATAATTCTACAAATATGTTCAAGCGAACTATCATCCCTGGGAAATGTTGAATTCAAAATCGAAGTAAATTTATTCTATGAAATCATAAAAATAACTCCACTTGACATCTTCCTGAAGTACACGCTCATTTCTCGCATTCTTTTCCTTGCTATCCACTAAATCTAGATGAATTTGAGTAAGCACTTGTTACAGCTATGCGGAATGTAAATAATTGGCTGTTGGTAGTTCATAATGCAGTAATTTTTCGATAGGGGTGGCTTGTGAGTGTTTATGAGACGTAACACTATTTGTTTATTGTAATTCACCTTATCTTCAGGCTATGATATCAGGGCGAGCCGACAAATATTGTGTTGACAACAGATGCAGACATAATTATGCTTCATAAAATTTCCAACAGTGAAATTCCTCAAAGAAGGATTAGATCCTTTTATTGGCTGCTGTATGAATACTATACACATCTCAAGAAAGAAGTGGGTGTTACAAACAAAGTTTCCAGTAAGATATTAAAGGGGTTTAAAGTTACTTTTACCTTTACATGGTACACTTCAAAGAAAACAATAGACTTTAAACGAAGGTTGACACTGTCTTTCAAATCTACTGTTTGTCTTCACCTCTTCATATTTGCTATCAGTATACAAATTTTTGAGACTGCTAACTTTTATGCACTCAAGACTTATAAAATGAGGGATTTAAAGTAGGAAACTAGTTGTTTTACTCCTTACACACCTTTATATCGATTTCAAGTGACACGAACAGTTTACTTCTTTTTTAAAAAACCTCTCTTAATCACTACTTTTAACCTAAGAAGACAGAGAACTTCATTAGTTTCAATAAGTAATGGCCTAACAAGTTTTAATAACTGGTGAAAATCTTAAATTGCACTCGTGTCTAGAACTACTGTTGAAAATTAGTTTTGCTAAACATGTTTGTTATGCTTCTGATAGGATTTTGTTGATAAACAGACTCTTGTGAATAAATAAAATACTGAAGGATATATTAAACTGTATTATAAAGGGTACATTGAACTGCTTCAACCTTTTGTGTTCCAATTTCCCAATCAGAATAGAATCCTTTGTGTAGAAATAACATACTAATAATGTGTGCATTAATAGATTTTTTTGCAGATTGTATTCTTCACTTCTTACTTAGAAGGCTAATATGTAACTGCAAGTTTTTAAGAAACTTAAAATGTCCAACGAATAGATTCTAAAACATGAAGTTACAATACTCACTAGAAACCGTATCACTAGTCATTTTCCTATTAAGGATGTATTCTTTGTAACTATAGGTGTATTTTATTCGAACCACAGCTATTTGACTATTCTTAACGTTGTTTACTGCAATCAAAACTTCATACACTTATTCCCCCTAATGAATTTGAATAAAGCAAGAACAACAGTTTTTACAGAATAAAATGGTACCATCATTTATTTCGTTGGCTTCTCATCAGCTGCTTACAGGCCAAAGTCATTATTAAGTAGATCTACAGAAATAATTTTAGCATGCTTGCATAGAGTTCATTTTTAAGCAAAATCAATCAATATATGCATACAATTATATATATAAATATATATATATATATATATATATATATATATAGTAATATTAGATGGTAGGAGGCAATCGGCAGGAAGCCTTGGACCTAGGTTTCGTGCTAGTTGGCACTCGTCAGCAATCATCTAATGTCATCGAATCAATGTGCACCGTGATAGTGACCAACCTGGAATGGTGGCCACAATGGAAATCTGACTGATAGAATTCAGTCTGCACCAAACAAAGAAATAGACACATCACACCAGTTACTAGTGTCCAATCAAAATACATAATAATAAACACTCTATCCCGAACAATATTGATCATACACAATGGAAACTTTCGGTATTACGTAATCAGGTGAAAGAGAGAGAGTGAAAATATCCAGTTACCAGGGCAAAGAAAGACTGATAACTGCTTCTTTCTGAACGCATAAATCGGGTTTCAGGCGGTTGATGGAGATCGCTTCGCTTGAGAATTGAACCCGATTTCTGCGTTCAGAAAGAAGCAGTTATCAGTGTTTCTTTGCCCTGGTAACTGGATATTTTCACTCTCTCTCTCTTTCACCTGGTTACGTAATACCGAAAGTTTCCATTGTGTATGATCAATATTGTTCGAGATAAAGTATTTATTATAATTATTATTATTATAACCAGAAGGTCCTGGGTTCGAATCCCGGTGGGTGCGTACTGATGAAGAGTCCCAAACTAGGACGAAACAGTTGTCCAGTACTCCCAGCTGGTTTTCCAATGGTTCTCTAACTAATGTCAACTCATGATGAAAATCCTGTAACCAATCAAATCCCTACAAACCAACATTTGAATTATTATTATATATTTTGATTGGACACTAGTAACTGGTGTGATGTGTCTATTCCTTTGTTTGGTGCAGACTGAATTCTATCAGTCAGATTTTCATTGTGGCCACCATTCCAGGTAGGTCACTATCACGGTGCACATTGATTCGATGACATTAGATGATTGTTGACGAGTGTCGACTAGCATGAACCTAGATCGAAGGCTTCCTGCCGATTGCCTCCTACCATCTAATATTACTATATATATATATATATATATTATTGTATGCATATATTGATTGATTTTGCTTAAAAATGAATTCTATGCAAGCATGCTAAAATTATTTCTGTAGATCTACTTAATAATGACTTTGGCCTGTAAGCAGCTGATGAGAAGCCAACGAAATAAATGATAGCACCATTTTATTCTGTAAAAACTGTTGTTCTTGTTTTATTCAAAATCTCAACTTCCTTTGGGAGAATTTATCTTAGAGCTTGTGAATACACCAACAGTAGAAGAATTTCTAGAAGTCTAGATTTCAAAGGAAGCTGTAACCAGCAGATATGCAGATGTGAGCCAAATCCACAAAATGGTTAACAGGAAAACAATTTTTTGCCAACCGACTGAAAATTAATCAAGTAAATCAAATAATTACGGTCACTAGCATCGACAGAAAGCGCCCTCCTCACATTATTATTCCGAGTGTAACCCAATGCGTCGCTGGTATAGCGGTTAGGACGCTCGTCAACCATGCACATGGTCCGACGTTCGATCCCCGGCCGACGCACTCCTTTACCTCGCTAAGCCAGAAATAATGCTGGTAAAGAGGAAAGGTTGGGCATGAGGCTAGCAACCCCATCCTGTAAAACAAACACTGCTACAGCAACTCCAAGCTACTAGCTTGAAGCCCTATGTTCCACTGGGGAACGTGAAGGAAAAAAAACAAAACCCAATGGAGTTTAAAGTCAAAGAGATCAAAATGCCAATATGACGAAACTTTCTCACTTTAGCAAATAAATACATTTGAACAAGCATAAAATCTGTTTCCCCGCAACTAAACTGTACACTGAAGAAAAGTAATAACCTAGTTGTAGTACTTCATGACTTCCGAAAAACAGCCAATTTTCAAACACCAAAAGTACTAGCCTTAAATTTAATTAACAATTCGGGAATATTATTAGTTGAGTATCTGTGCAGGTTGTTGACGGGAATAAAAAGCACATCTTGTCAGTCTTAATCTTTAGCTTTAGCCCACATAAGGTTCCATGGACTAAATTTTGACAGGTTTTGATGATAATAGGGAAGAATAACTTGCCTTTGTAACACCAGAGTACAGTGGTATTTGCCTGCAACACTGTTTATTTTAGCAAAATGAGATACAGCCATGGCAAAAAACACAGAAATCTTATACTGAAATTTCCAATTTTCAAAAGTTTCTCGTATTTTGCTTCTTCTGTCTTTCTATCATCCTTTCGATATCATTTCATAAGGTACTTCACATCTCCTCTTTGTAATTTAATCTGTTGCTCCGCTATTCAAGATTCTTGGAGAAGATACCACACGCTTTATACTACTTATAGCTTTTTATTAGTATCACACACCCCATTTTTACCTAGACCTAAACAGTTATGTGCAATTAACGTTTTTGAGTGCACACCTTCTTAGTGAAAATTAATCCTAAAATCTCCTTCAGAAATTCAACCTGACGAATAAAAATGCTATACAAGTACGGATATGGTAAAATGTAAAATCACGCGGTAATACTAGATTCTATGTTGAGAATGACTGTTTATCAGTTTGCCAGTGTTCTAATCGTATGTTGTCAATTTAAGTATTCATCAAGAAATTATAAGGCAGAAGAAAGAGATATTAAGATTCTTCCGTCGATTCGCCGCATCTAAGATAGGTAAGGTAATGGTTGTGCTGTTGATATGCTAAACCATACCAGCCTTACTAAACACAACATGCCCTAGTACCCACTTAACCAGTGCCTCACCTAATCTGTAAGTACTGATAACAAAACACGAATCAAAGGATCAGTTATTTAAAAAATATGCGCTGATGAATACATTTAAATAGAATAAATATTACGAATTTTCGGGGAAAAGATTTAAGAAACTTATCTGGCTAGTGTTAGTAAATTACAAAGTCTAAGGACATGTGTGTTTTTGCAGTACAAAGGAAGCGCAGAAATGGCGTCCAAGCCTCTTTGGATGAGTACTAGTTAAAATGAAACATAGAATACTTAAAGCATCCGTAAGCTAGTCCGACGTTTATTTAGTTAATACTAAATCAATTTTGCTTTCATCTATTTACTTATCTTCACGTTTATTTTGGTGCCGTGAAGATGCCCTACAAATACACCAATTACCTGAGATACTAAAGAATCTAGCTGACTAAATATCCTTGTTTTATATAATGATGACTAATAATAATTTTTTTCCTTCTCCTTTCCCAGTGGAACATAGGGCTTCAAGCTAGTGGCTAGTGCGTCGGCTGGGGATCGAACCCCGGACCATGTGCATGGTAGGCGAGCGTCCTAACCGCTATACCACCGACGCACCTACTAATAATAATAACAACAGTAATTTGCAATTGTTTCACTGTATCACTCTAAGTGATTCTAGTGAATTAGATAAACCAAATAGAATAACAGTGAGCAAAATAGATTATATTGTGTCAAAAAAAGAATCATTTTCAAACAGATTACTGAAAATAATGACAAGTAAGAACAGGCCTTTTATCAATATTCAAAATTTAAATAAAAAGGCTAAGTGGTCGGATTGAAACAGAAGAAGCCAGACCGTATAAATACGCATACGGCATATTTATCTTCAAAAACAAGTGCTCACACTGAAGGTGAATAAAATCTCGGCGAAAGCTGAATTTCAAACAAAATCATTTCGGAGAACAAGTCCTTATTCCAAGATATAAATAAATATTCTCTGTCCATACAAATCAGGAACACTCGTAAAGTTGAATAAATCAAGATGAAATAAGAAGCATTTTTACCTACCTGATGTGTGTGTAATTTTTACAAAGAGAATGAAATTACCAACGTTTGTGATATCACTGTGAATGTAGGACAACAACTAATTTATTAAAAGTAGGATAAGATGATAAATAGAAAAATTAAAATTTCCACTTAACTGTGAAATTACTCTTTAATGATGTAAGGGGTTGTTTCTTCGCTATATGACATGTTTGTAAATCCTCAATGTACGTAAATTCCACAGATTTATCATTTATCAAAACCTCTGTGGGCGTTCTACTCATACCGACAATAAGCACAGCTTTAAGGTCCAGTTCTTTCAAATCGATTTTCTGTAAACTTTCATGACTGGAAGGTGTCGAAATCGCTGACAGAACACGGTTCCGAACTTCAAAACTCACATGCAAATAATTCAATTTGGCATCATCTCCATTATCCCAATACAACTCACCCGATGCTGTGATTCCCTTCCCAGTAGTATCACTACCATCATCCGTTGAAGACAAAAGTACCAACAAAGCAAATCCCTTCTTCCGTGCAATGTCCGTTACTTCAGTAGATACCTGCATAGGAATGATACAACCACATCTGGCGGAAATTGGAATAACGTTCAATGGTGCCCCGAAATACACCCAATCACCTTGACTGACATACCGTTTTCCAGTGGCTAGGTTGATCCATTCACCCATTGGAACATAACCCTCCACACCTGTTCGCCCTTCATCCAACACTGGAGTGACGAGGATGCACGATCCAAGCATGAATTGTGCATTGACCTTGTGTGTGGCCAAATCTTCAGGGAACTCGAAGGCTAGAGCACGAGCCACAGTCGTCCCATGGAAGTAAGATCGATAGAATAGGGAATATATGTATGGTAGTAGGTGATATCTCAGTTTGATAGCTTCTTTGATAGCCTTAGTAGCTTCTTCACTCCAGTAAGCTGGATCCTGATCGTCTGCATCATCTTCATTATGATTTCTAGAAAATGGATAGAAAGCACCCAACTGACTCCATCGTACACACAACTCCTCAGTAGTATTTCCCACAAATCCACATATATCAGCACCAACCATTGGAATTCCAAACATATTGAAGTTGATTATCTGCGAAACGGACATCTTCAGACTATCCCACGTCGACAACACATCACCTGTCCAGTGAGTTGTGTACCGACCTGAGCCGGCGAAACTTGAACGAGTCAGTATGAAAGGTCGCTTCTCTGGAAATAATCGAGTCAATACCCTGTGAGTCACTCGAGCTTCCTCATAACCATACATATTATGCAGATTATAATGTGTCGTGTTGTGATGCAAGGCTGATGGACATATTGTTTTGTCATACAACGAGTTCTGAAGGACTCGAGGAACATATGGAGGATTGTCTAGTTTATTCCATGAAGGACAACCAGTGAGTGATCCACCATTGAAACTCGCAGGCTCATTCATATCTAGCCACAAACCATCGAAGTTGACCAGCTTGTGGAAGTCTGACGCAGACTTGTACCACCAATCCTCAGTGGCTGGGTGAGTGAAATCTGGGAAGACGGTCTCTCCTGGCCACACAGTACCCAGAATCGGAGTACCGGTCCGACTGTCATTGATGAAAACGCCTAGTCTCATGCCCTCCTTGTATGGTAAATAGTCTTTACCACCCTTCGTGCTGACAGCTGGATCTACAATTAACACAGCTCTCATTTTGTACTTGTCGTGTAGGACATCCTTCACGAAATCACTCATCCCACCGAACCTCTTATTGTCCACTGACCAAATCTTGTATGCATCCATGTAGTCGATATCAAACCATTGTGCGTCTACGGGAATCCCTGCATCCAAATTCCGTTTGAGTACTGCCTTCACTTCATCCAAATTCTTCATACCATATCTACAGAGATGAAATCCTAGTGACCAGTATGGTGGTATCGGTGGATGTCCGATGAGAGTGTAATATTGATTCACGACATCTAATGGTTTTGGTCCAGTGAAGATGAAGAAGTCTAATATGCCACCAATTGTTCGATATGTGATAGCTGGTAGAGGTGTTGTAGCTACTTCTTGTGCATTGCTGTTGAGGAAGAAGATCCCGAATGCAGTTCCATCATGTTTCAGACCCATGAAGAAATTGTGTACACCATAAAGATTGGCATTTGGATGTGGATCTCCATCATGTGCCCAAAAGCCTGCCCTGGTCCATGCATTAAATGTATTTGGATAATGTTGCTCAAATTCTCCAGGACCGAAACCGCTTTGAGCGTTTATGCGGAATGATATTTGTATGAATTGATCGGAAAAAATAAAAGCTGTGGCTAATGATCCGGTCGAGTCCATAAGTATTTCCTGTTCATTATTATTTCTCATGATCTGAAAGGTAAACAAAAAAAGTACAAGTGAACATAACGACTATCTACCAGAATATTAAGCTAACTAAATTTTGTTTAAATTATTATGGAGTGCAAAATAAACGAACATAAAGATCTATATTTTGGTAGTTAGTTAAAGCAGTTGAGGTACTGAATACAGACCCCTGTTTGTATATGTCTGAAGAAAAGTTTTATGCATTTGTTATCCTAAGAACGAACAATTACGTTGAGAATCAATAACTTATTAGAACGATAAGCTCTATTTACTGTTATTTAATGAACAGATTCATTAAACTAAAATCTAGTATCTTGAACAACTTTACTGTTTTAAATCGTATGCGATGACTGACAGTGTTTGTCATGACACTTATCTGTTCAGATATGTAACATTAGCAATGAACTAGAATTTGGAAAATGTTGTGCTAACGTTATTTTAATTAATGGTGACTAGCAGTGGAATCCAGGATTCATATTTTGTCTTGTTTGGAACTCGTCAGCTGGGTGTATATGCATTCCCAGTGAATGATGGTGTCTCCGTGGAGACTCGTACCCTACACTCATCATTTTAAGTGCCAAAGCCTTATCCATTAGGCTACCAGGGCCACAGAATCGAACCAATGTATCTGAATAGATTAAAAACATTGCCAATTACCTGTTAAGGAAATAATTTAATTCATTCGTATGGTATATCAATTGTGACACTCACTCTTCTGTTATCTTGTTTTGTATACAGTATGATATAGAGCTTCATCAAACACTCATAGTGAATACGACTCATCCATGTATTTATCAATCAATGAATATGAACTGAAACTGTAACCAACCTTAAATAAACTGTTCAGATTGTATAAAATAATTCGTATGATATTCATAGTGGTAATCATCTAAGGCACCTTGTAATTGTCTTGCTTATCAAAAAGACTAACTGCATTTTAAGTGAAGTCAACTTTAATAGCACAAATAAGCTGATCCACTTAATAATATATTGAAAAACATTAAGAAATCAACAAAAAGCTTCACTTTTTCAAAACATCCTACAAACAAATCGTTTAAAAAAAATGATTATTTCGTCTGTAACAGTGGATTATTAGAAATACATATTAGGTAAGCCAATGAATGCACATATTCTCAAAAATGATTTTTTATAGAATAAATGGTGTACTTATGACCGTGGGGAAGTTGAAATTTTTTAGAATAAAGTAAATGAACGCGGATGATTTATGTTTGATGTCACACAAAATCGAAGACTTACAAACAAAAACCGACAAACTGGTCGAAGAAGCAGCAAAGACAGGACTCCAGGTGAACATAGACAAGACGGAGGTTATGAAAATAACCAACCAACAACAACAACAGCAGCAGCAGCAACATCCAGCACCAATCACCATCAACGGGAGGGATTTGAAAGAACTTACTTCATTCACTTATCTAGGGAGCATTGTCTCAACCACAGGAGGAACGGACGAGGATGTCAAATCGAGAATCGGGAAGGCGAGAAACACATTCATCAACCTGAAACCAATCTGGAAATCTTCCGCTGTCACTCAGCCTGCATCAACAACAAAATGATTCGGATTTTCAATACAAACGTCAAAACAGTCAGTTCTTGTATACGGATCAGAAACTTGGTGGGTCACAAAGAATATTTCCAACAGCCTGTTGCAGACCTTTATCAACAACTGTCTTCGCTGGCTCTATACTGAAGATCAGATGGCTGGAAAGAATCACCAACAAGAAACTATGGGAAGAAACAAAACAAGAACCAATCGCTCAACAAATATGCATGAGAAAGTGGAGATGGATTGGACACTCTCTGGGTGACATCGCACGTCAGGCCATTGCTCGAGTGGAAACCGAAAGGGAAGCGGAGAGTGGGACGTCCAAGGGTGACATGGAGGAGATCGTGTGAAGAAGAGTTGAAACAGTGTGGAATAACATGGATGCAGGTGAAAAGTACAGTAGAAGACAGAAGCAAGTGGAGATGTGCATTTGAAGCCCTATGTTCCACTAGGAACCCAAGGGAACAATAATAATAATATTATAAATGAACTATATATATCCACAGTTATTTAAAAACTAGATTTTCAGTGGGGAGACCGTTTTGAAATTCAATGCAATTAACTAGACATCCTACAAACTCGGAAAAATATTTGATGATAATTAAAGCTATATAAAAGCTTAAGATTCTGATATAAAATGGCTTCAGCACCAGTTAAGCGTAGTTACACAGTTAACACATGTAAATCAGTTTTACCACTGGATACTTCAAATGAAAAATAAAATAACGCACAATAGTAGTTTGTTTAAACTACACTAAAGGTATGCATCTAATGGAGTTTAACTCTTTTGTGAGACAACTGTTTAATGTGCACAGATTTATGTCAAAAGTGACTTTAATCTAAAGTTCGAAACATTAGTTTACTTATAAAATAACTGAAGTTGGACAATCCACTTGATGACGACATACTTGTAACCATTTTTCTTGTGAACCCACAGATATTATGTTGATCTACCTTCCATAGTGCTATCCACAATACAAAAACAAAAGCCTTGTCACTCACACCTAACTTTTGTGTTCCTCAAAAGTATTTTTCAGAACTGGAAATCTATGCACAATTTTAAAATCTAATATGGTCAACCTTATTTGGAAAAAGATTGTTTTTAAAGTAGGTGCGTGGATGACATCATAGTTATTTGTTACAAATCGATACTTGCCACAGGAATTCTTAACCGAATGAATACTGTATATCGTTAACATATATGTGGAAGAATTTAACGATTGCTTGCGACTTTAAAATGTACTAATAACTCACCGACAGGATTGGTCAGTAAGATGACCTGTCTACAGGAAGCCCACCTAGACGGGATAGTATCTAAATAACTATGTCCACTTCCCTACGCTCGCCAACCATGCACATGGTCCGGGGTTCAATCCCCGGCCGACGCACTCCTACACCTCACTAAGCCAGTAATAAAGCTGGCAAAGAGGAAAGTTGGGCATGAGGCTGGCAACCCCATCCTGTAAAAATAATCACCACTGCTACAGCAACTTCAAGCCTCTAGCTTGAAGCCCTATGTTCCACTGGGAACGTGAAGGAATAAAATACTTCCCTACGAAAAGGTGTTAATTAACTGTTTGTTCTGGTGTATTCAAAACTCAAGACTTCACTAAAATATTGTTTGATAATAACTATCCTCTGAAATTTATTAAACTCAACAGACGGCCTCCATCAATCCAATCAGTTCCAAAAAGTATGTTTATACATCTTTATCTTTCAGGGGTGATCACCAAAGTTCATTCATTAAGCAAAGACTCAGAGTGACACTTAATAGAACCTAATTTGCAGCTAAATTCATTTTCATAGAGAAAACGAGATTTATATAGTCCTGTAAAACCTTACAGCATCCAAAGAAAGAGTAGCATCATATCCTACTGTGTTTACTAGTTTACATGTATATGTGACCTTATTCGTCTCTGCAAGTCAGAATTACAGTAGACATTCTTAAATGGCTACAAGAACAAATACAATAATTACCTGACTCACTTTATTCAGGAGACAGATATTCAGCGTTATCTGCCGCAAATCACACCATAGAGACAGGTGATAAAGTTCATTTCAGCAATGTCTTTGAGCCCATATATAAAAGATTTAACTCATATACTTTAAGTCATAAAAGTTTTAGTATTCAGAAGGCGTAAACTCCTTTTTTCCTTACCTCTTATCTGTTATCGTGACTAATGAACATTTTAACCTATATTGATAAAAATTGTGCTCCTTTATGCTCTGTTACCTTTTACATAGGTATGTATGGCAAGTATGTGTGTGTCATCAGAATGTCCGAAATGTGTTGCACAAATCCATTACACGTCCCAGGTAAATTATTACTTTGTCGACATTTAGTTTCTAACAAAACTGGTGTTGTAAAAGTGTTTAGGGGAGAGATACAATCCAAATTTATGTTTCTCTGCTGTCATCGGAACTACGAGAACTGCTTTTTAAGGGGTGGGAATCGATATTTCTCGTAATCCATAAAAATTTTATTAATGCTTAAAGCATTCTCATTTACTGCATGAACACAGTATTTATTATATACATTATTCAGTGATTCGCCATCGACATTTTACAGACCTCTCTATCCCTTAAAGTACAAGGACTTAGTTTTGGAAATTATCGGAAAATTTTTAAAAAATATTTTGGTGTTCATCATAAACTATAATATTTCATGCATACATTTTCCTCTATAGACTTGAAAAGAGAAACAGCCAAGGATGAATCAGAATAACATATATCCCTTTTACCTTATCGGTTCTCTTCATCTGCGTTCAACGTGTAATATTTACTATATCATATAATAAATTGCTTAAACCAATTCAGTTCATCTGATAGAAACTAATAGTCTCATACTAAATGTTGTTCGATATGACATCGAATATTACCTTACGATTTCATAAATATCTATCTTATTGTGAACGAATTTCTCGCGAGACAAAATTTGTTGAGAGTTGAAACAAGCTGAATGTTTTAGATGTTTGACTGTGATAATCTCAACAAACTGAAGAAGGTCAGGGTCATTCTGTCTATTGACTGTTTTAAATAGCTCTAAAGTATTTACTTTGTGCGGTAATGTCTATCGAGAGTTTAGAGATTGCGCTATTCAGACCATTCGGCTTATTTAAAAGAGGGCTGTTTATCTTATTTAAAAAAAACCTGATATCAACCATACCTTTTGCAAATCGAAGTACACAATTATTGCAGGAAACACAAATCTTACCTGTCAACTTCTGATTCTATTTAATTAGCAATTAGCCATGGTGCAACTTATTTCCTGACTGATTTTGTGCTTAATTCTTTGCTCCACATGTTTACAGTATCAAGAGAGTGTTGCCTGTTGTGTTCAGATCTTGTACAAATCTCCAGCTATTTAAATTAGCTCTTCAGAAGTTCTTTTTTAGTTACAGAAGTGGTCCGAGATGAGAAGCGTAGTAGTTTATAGGTGTTC